TGCATTGGGTACATTGACAGCAATGAATATTCTGTTACGTAAAAATGCTGGCAGATATCATGATAAAATCATAAATAATATTCAACGTGAAACTGGTACACAATTAAAAATATTTTATTTAGGCCTATCTATGGCCTTCAAAAAGTTGACGACTCTACATGTTTCGATGAGGATGACGTTGTAACGTCAAAACATGTAGAGTCGTCAACTTTTTGAAGGCCATAGATAGGCCTAAATAAAATATTTTTAATTGTGTACCAGTTTCACGTTGAATATTATTTATGATTTTAATAGTGTCTTTCTTTGGTAGATTGTTTAGGCAGAGTATTCATGATGAAACTTTGTAGAATTGACGCCAACTGCTTGTTGTAGAGACAAATATTTTTCTTATACATCTAAAGGTAAACAAGCTAACTCTTTTATTAATATAATAGTTTTTTAGTAATTTCTATCAAAATGCTAAGATTTCTCATATATTCGTTTCAGCGTTTATGTATAAAGAAAGCTTATTCTTGTATCAAAAAAGGAATACTTAATTAACTTCAGTATGCTTTTATTACTAATGATTAACAGCTGTTTCATTCAGGTTCTCATTTCTGATATTTCCTAATACTTATAGTTCTCGGAATATTTAGATAAGCCAATGTAACATACAGGCAAATCATATGTATTCTACGTGCTTTTAATAATACAGCAATTTTTAAAACTTTTGTTATTTAACATTTTTTTGCAGTTTTAGTATAAACACGTGGCTTACAAAACTGTTGACTTTTGCCTTGTTCTAAATTCCTGTGTTTCTTTGTTTTCTATAGCAGATATTATCTATTCTGCCAAAGGTATGTTGCAGCATACTTAACTTAAATATTAAAAGGTTCAATGACTACCATATTTTGCTGACCAAGTGTCTGTATGCTACAGTGGATGAATGCTGTGAAAGAATTGCCAGTCACGGGTGATCTCATTCGAAGATCAAAGCATTTAACTTTTGTGATCATGGTGTTTAGCTTTACAGAATCCAGTCAGCCAGGAGGAAGCTTCTGGCTGATACGGTAAATCTGTAGAAGGAATTGTGTAAGTGTGTAGAAATTGTGTTTGTTTTCCAACAAACCTGTCCAGTATTCATATTTTCTCACAAAAGATTAAATCTCAGCCATGTTTTCAGACACAGATTACTCCTCAGATTTTTTGTTCGATTCTGCGGTTAAAGCTAAGCTATCCAATAGTCGTATAGGAACCAGTTCTATCTGATGATACCAGAAGTAGATAAAAATAAATTTTGATACCATGACTACAGGATTTATCACAGATTTTCTGTTTTTGTCAATGTGTGTACAAACCATAGCTCAATCTCTTGAGTTGATAAAACTTTAAAATAATTCTTTATGGAAAGAATGGCATATTCTGTCACCAGCCAGAGCACCATCGCCCCAGTTCTGGTCCAGTCTGCTGGAAACCGGCATACAAACGCTGGACGTGCTGTTGATTGATGGTATCCATCAGTCAGGGGTGTTTCTCTGGTAGATGAGACAGTGGGGACTCACGATGATAACCATGAATCATTGGACGGTGTACCTTTCTGGAGTGAAAGGCTCCCTGTAACTTCAACTATGGCTTGTGACCATCCATGTTTGTATCAGAGTCCCTGCAAACAGTTAATGCGAAATAGCAGCTAATGGCACCTCCACCTGGCATTTGTTAAGATCATTAAAGGGAAGGGCTTTGACCAACTACACAGGTTCCCATGAATGAAACGAAATAGATCATTCCCCTGATATTAGAAGGAGTAGAGAAAATGATCCGAACCATTTTTTATAGTGTTTCAGGCAGATAATTGACTAGAATGGATGGAGTCAGGGAGGGCATTCTAGTCAACAAATTCATTGAGGGAATACCCAATGAATCCATGTAACAACATCTGAATGTGAGAAACATGTTCAACATAACTGAGGCAGTTTCCATGTCAAATATGTTTGAAGTACTAACTTCAAGGTGGTTGTCAGAAAAGAAGGAGCCTGCATTGATAACTGTAGTTCTTATTTTACAGATGGACAATCCTGCATAGGTTCCTTCAGTATATTGGGCTAGATCCAACTACCATACAGGCTGGAAATGCAATGCAACTATACTGTTTTCCAGTAAATGGGCAGAGCTATCTAGGTTAGTACATAAGGTACATAACACAGCAAGGTATACTCATGGGATACACACCAAAGCAAATGCTAATGCCTTTCTCTGGACATCATCTAGTACAGGAAGAGAAAAGTATTTGCTTTGCTTGTAGACCGGTGAGGCACTGGCAAAGGAACTGCTATATTTTGTCAATCAGCAGAGCTATTTGGTTTCAGTCAATGACTCAACAGATGCCAGCCAACCCATAACATTAGTATTTTGCTGAGCAGAATATTTGGCAAGATTATCAGTACTGGCCATCAGATCAGTACATCCAGGATAACCAACAGAAAGTGGTGGCTGCTATGCTCTAGCCAATGCTAAAGAAAAATAACTGTCCAAGCTGGTTATGGATACTGACTTGAGGGGGTACAGGAGATAACTTGCACCAAAGAGCGTAGTGGCGAGCCCAGCTTTCACAGGGTTGGGTAGAGCTTGGTATATGCTTATGAGGGTACAAGAGTGAGAAGTTGAGTTCCTGGTCAATACAGGAGCAGTAAGAACCCTAGTAAATTTTGTGATTCTTCAAGCCCATCTAATGAGGCCACCACTATGGCCAATGGATACCAGCTTAACTCTTATAAGAGGAAATAAACTAGACTTTAGAAAACAGGTGGATCTCTGCCTTTGTCTAGAAGATGTTACTCACAGAAGTAAAATAATAATCTCTTACCTCAGATCTGTTATTGGTATTTGTAGGATAGATGTAGTGTGGAGCTTGTTTGTCAGTTTTGCCTGTGCAATGAGTGAGTTGATGTTCCATGAAAAACATCCAATGCTGACCAGATCGTATACAGGAACAGTGCACTACATGGAGGGAATAACAGTATCTCTAAGTATAAAAGTACTATTCCATGCATTGGTGTGGTGTAATATAGTTATAGAATTGAAACCGTGCATGAAATAAACTATTTCCTGACCAGAAATGTAGGCAGAATTAGCTCAGAAAGTCATCTGTCCGACAACAGATGAAGTCCTAGTGTTGCTATCTAGCTTGATGCTGGAAAGTTTGTAGGTGGTACAAGCAAAGTAGAAGTGACTGAAACTAGCAATAGTTACATCTGTTACATCGTGGTTAAAAACAAATACTTGGCTACCAACACATCTGAGGCCATTGGTTCAAGAGATTGAATCAACTCGTCATAATCAGCTCATTGAATTGTTGGATACGTATGTCGATGTATTTGTGGAACAAATTGCTGATTGAGTCAGATAATGATGGCTCAAATCACATACATATAGACAATGCATAACCAATAAAGCAACTGCTATGGTGGCTTTTATCGTGCCTTAGGAAGGGAGCAATTGCTCAAATATAGGAACATTCTGCAGGACTGAGTCATACAACCTTCAGAGAGTGCTTGGTTGTCTTCCACAGTAATTGTTAGAAAGAAAGAAGTTACTCCAAGGTACTAAGTTGATTTTAGAAGAGTGAGCATCGTAACTTGTGTTAGTGCTTTTCCTTTACCATGAACGGCTGAATGCCTGAACATGTTAGACATTTCTTGTTGGTTCAACAGTACCTGGCATTCTGATACCTCCAAGTCAAACTGGATGACGAGAGCTGCACATCA